GGTTAAACTTAACCTAACCATGGTTTTGACGAATTTTTGTCGATATTTGAACTTTAAWTGCTAATAAAAAAAAATCGTGCCTATGTATTTTTATAATTTTTTAATCAGTATAAGAATAACTTATGAGGAACTTTGTATTAAATTTTCAAGTATTTTGATAGCGCAAAAAAAATTTTATCGACTTCAAAAGAAAATTTTCAGAAAAATTGAAAATTTCAGTTGTCTATAAATATCWCAAAAAAAGTCAAAATATTTTGAAAATTAAATCATGTAAAGAAAATGCCTATCTAAATAACTTATGAAATTTTCAAGTATCTAWGACTTACACTTTTTGAATAATTACAAATATTTAAAATCGTTTGAGGAAATAATTATGAGAATGAACGAAATTATCGTTACGCTACTTCGTAAAAATTTAAAATTCAAACGCACTTAAAATTTTTCCTATAATGATGCTTCGAGTTTTTTTAGTAACATAATAATAATTTTAAACTTAACAACATTTAATATATCTCAATCTTTGAGTAAAGTCATAGTAATTAAATAGTTTARCAGTGTAATAAAAAATTTAAAAAAAAAATGTATTATTAATCAATATTATTAGTTTCTATGTCAAAATCTAAATTCTCATTAAAACCATTAATATCTTCTTCAATGATAGCATTTCCCGTAAAATGTGTATAAWACTCATGAGCATCAGCAGGTATAAGATRCATTATAGATTTTATATCATCAAGTTTTGCTTGGTTGATTTCTTTCCCATTAGGCCATAGTTTAGTAAGTAGCGATTCAGATAGAAATAATATGTTGTTTGATACTCGACCACGACCATATTTTTCAATATTAATTTCCAAAAAGTTTTCATCTGATAAGGTTTGACTTATAAACAATGAAAATGGATGATTGCGGCATAACTTAATTTGTCTTATTTGTAGTCAATTGATTTTGTCACCAGAGACAGATACCTTTCGATTAGTAATTTTTTTCTCTAACATTTCTGAGCTAACAAAATCTTCATTTTATTCATTTGAGTAACTATTAATGGATTTTTTTTTTTACATGWTCTCATAACATTAATATAGTCTTGAGGAGTATAAAGCCTTTGTTGGTGTTTTAGTGCTGATTCATATCACTAAAATTTCGGTCGTTGGGTAAAAAACTGTGGCCAGGGTATAAGTATTTATGTATTATATTATCAAGTTCAGTGCTATTGAAAAGAGTTTTCATTAGTAAAACAATTTTAATATTCCTGTTCTGACCACCACATGAATCAGACCATAAAACTAAATCTTTAATATTGTGATTATTTTATATTAATTATTTTTGATGTGTTTTATCAAACATGACCCTACTTCTTGTGCCCCTCTTCCTGCCTGGCCTTCCAACCAAACATAACAATATCCCTGATGTTCTTTTCCGCCGGTGAACCGGTTAAAAGGTTATAGACGAGCGCAATATTGCTAATTGGTCGAGCGCAATCGTATTGCGTTTTTTGAATGGAAAAAGGTAAGCCGGGCGCAATCGTGTTACACCCCTTTTCCGCTATAAATTCCAGTGTTATACAACCAAAGTTGTCTCTTGTAAAAGATTATGTTTGTAGGTAACCTAGGGAGAGGTAATGTTTTCTCCATATCATAGGTTAGGCATTGGAAATATTAAAATAACGAATAACGATTGAAATCGTCATAACAAAGAATAAAATATTAAAATTATTTATAATAATAATTTATTATTGATAAAAATAATTATTATCATAAAACAAATTGTTTTGAATAAATTTATCCATATGTTATGGATAAATTTTATCACTCCATTTATTGTGCTTATTGTAAAAATATTTTATACATATTGTACAAATCAGGGGGTGTTTATGGGAGGGGGCTGAGTGTGCTGCAGCCCCCCTCCCCGACATTTTGAGAAAATGGTTTTAGACAAGTTTGCCAATAGTGGACGAGCCAGAGGCTTAAAATTTATTATTTAGTACCAAATGGCTAATACATATTATTATTATTTATACATTGTAATTTAAATCATTGAATTTTTTTTTTTGTTTTTCTGTATAACTATTGACTAGGTACGTTTATACATTTTGATCAGCTCCTCCCGAAATAAATTTCTGGATACGCGCCTGGTACAAATTAAAATAAATATAACAAAAAAAAAAAAACAGTCCGCAAGTAAATTTCAAAAATTATATTTCTCGTTTTCTAAAATCCTAGTGGGGCCGCTGCTATAGTTAGTGCGTCTTTAATTTTTAAAATCAATAAATTTCCCTACAAACATTTCAAAACATATTTTATTTTTATAGTAGGTAATCAAGTAATATAGTATTGATGTATTTTTCAATGGTATTAATATTAAATATTTCAAATAGTGCGAAGCTAAATAATCAACAAAAATTTCATTTCTTGATGTGAACCCGAATTTTAATGGTCTGTGTAGTGTAAAATATAAATGTTCCTTAATTTATATATAAGATGAAAAATATGTTTTCATTTTATAAACATATATATCTTAACAACGTGGCTCGCTTCGAATTAGCTTCTACAATTTTGGCTCCCAAAATTAAGGTTAATGATCACCCCTGTTATAGTATATAATATACTCACTGTAATATTGTGTTCGAATCAATCTTAAATTCACCAGAAACAAAATAAATATAAACATTTTACTTATTCAGACCACAATGGCATAATAGATACCTATCAACTTATAAATAAATAATATAAGGACATAAAGATTTTTTCATCATGCAAATCTCATTACATGCAAGGTAAGAGATTCAATAGTTTATAATTTTTTAGTCAAATAATTGTTATACTTAAATTATGACCATTGCCCATTACACGTTATGATATAAGCATATAGGTACCCATTTATATTTTAAAGGTAAGATATTTTCATATAATTTTTACGTTTATCGTTTAGAAATAATTTCATTCTTCAGAGTAGCCAGAGTAGGTAATAAATTTAATAACGATGCAGTTGATTTTATATTGTAGGGTTTTCAAATAATGTGTCTTTACCTACGTAAAAGTTTCTCTCCTTCGTTATTTTAATGCTACAACGAAGACGACTAAATTCATAATATGAGCGTCGTGGGAAACAATTACCTAAACACAATAAACGGATTTTTAATGATGAATTAAAATTTCAAATTATTTTTTGCAATTATTACCCTGCATATGGCATAGGTATCTAATATTATTTATTAATCTAGGTAGGTAAATTATACAATTGTACGACATTATACGTTTATAAATGATATTTTTTCATAAACAATATAGGTAAGGAGATACCAAGGTAAGTACTTACCTATTTAC